GGTACCGTCCGTTCGTTCGTTTCTTACGTTTTACGTTTTTAGTTTACGTTTAGTTAGTTAGTTAGTTAGTATATAATATATATATATATATATATAATATATAATATAATAAATAATATATATATATATATATATATATATATATATATATATATATATAATATCGTTTTATATATATACAAACACGCATCCACGGCTGGAGCACAACCCCTTACCCCTCCGGCATGCAGTGAGATAAGGATGACCTTAGCCGTTTGTTGTGTGTTGAACTTCTTAATCATCACTCCTCTTTGGGCCATGCGTGTCTGTCCATCGAAGCGCATGGGCTCAATGCCACTGTCTAACAACGCCTCCTCAACCACGTCAAGATACTTGGTGAACTGAGTACCGCAGGGGTAGAAGTATATATATTTATATAATATGAATGAGTATTCAGTATAAATACATATATATCATGAATGAGTATATATATATATATATATATATATGGGTTGTGTGTATATTTAAGCATGCATGTATGAGTGAGTATATTTGTTCCCCTGCTAGGTGAGCTACAGACACAACGTTGTGCGTGGTGCAGCTGCAGCTGTTGACATGGTGTTTGTGTCAATGTTTGTGTATTTGGATGTGCTGTTGACATGGTGATTGTGTTAATATTTGTGTATTTGGATGTGAGGTCCTATTTCACACCATACATATTCGTATAATTACAAGAAATTGCCGACATTCTCGATTTGGCAGCGTATGAAGACACCCTTATAACCTACTCTGAGGATGGATGAGAATGCACTCATACGCAGATGTGCCGAAGAAGTGAAGTGGTGACTGAAGACAATGATTGTGTACGTTTGATTACACGAACAAGATATTAACTTATAGGTAGAGGCATACATACATGTACACAACTGTCAGACAAAATCAATGTACGTATATTGGTATGAGGGAGAGCGCACACACGACAGCTATACTGTCGATGTACGCGTCAACAACCCACACGCACATCTCTACATCACTATATACAGGGTGGTATACATGCACAAATATACGACACACATGCCTATCAATATATACCAAACAAACACATGCGTCACTATATACAGGGTTATAGACATGAACAAATATACGACACACATGCCTATCAATACATACAACACAAACACCTCTACATCACTATCCGAGGGTTATACACATGCACAAATATACGACACATGCCTATCAATACATACAACACAAACACATGCGTCACTATATACAGGGTTATATACATAAACAAATATACGACACACATGCCTATCAATATATACAACACAAACACATGCGTAGCCTCGAGATAGGCCTGGGTGCACATAACATGCCAGCCCATTTGAACACACACCTGTGAGAAGACAACCATCTTCTCGAGTGCACATAACACGCCAACCCTTTTGAACACACACCTGTGAGAAGACAACCATCTTCTCGATTGCACATAACACGCCAACTCCTTTGAACACACACCTGTGAGAAGACAACCACCTTCTCGATTGCACATAACACGCCAACCATTTTGAACACACACCTGTGAGAAGACAACCATCTTCTCGATTGCACATAACACGCCAACCATTTTGAACACACACCTGTGAGAAGACAACCATCTTCTCGTCACTGGGCAGCGCATTGACCAGTGCGATGAGTGCAGCGGTCTTTGGGTCTGTGACTGTCGGCTGTGGTTGCGTGTGGTTGTGTGGGAGTGATAGTGTCGGATATTGAGTGGGGAGAAAGAGGCCAAGCCGTGGGGTAGAAACGCTAATAAAGAGGCAAAAGAAAGTGGAATTGTGAGTACTTTTGGTCTAAATTAGCCAATAAAAATGGGAATGCGAGTTCATTTCAGTGCCAAAATGACCAGTCAAGTACACCACATTCATACGATGTCAAACACCCGTGACGGTACAGCCTGTTTGAAGACTACGCCGACCGTTATATATTGGTATACTACAACCGGTCCAAAGTCCTTTTTTTCAGGTCAGGTGCACACCTACCGCTGCGCCCAGGTGCTGGGCCAGGTCATCGTCGTCCTGGCCGAGGTCAATTGCCCCATTTGTCTGTGGCGTGTGCGCTGACTCTAATGCGTCGTCCAGATGGTGTCGGTCCACCACATCTGATTTCTGTTGACCAACGCAGTCGAGGATGGGTTAGGGGTATGAGTAGGGTTTTAAGACTTTTATAACAGTAGTTGAGGCAATATGGGGCGTGCTCGTGTGTGTGAGTTTGAGTTTTAGGCGGATATCTGGTGGTTGTCAATGGTCTGTGAATGCTATACCTAAAAGACTAAAACACCAAAGAAGACGGCAAACGACACAAACAAACGAGCGGGATATGAGGATATGGGGGATATATATATATAAATATATATATATATATATACATATACATATATATATATATACATATATATATATACATACATACATACACACACACACATATTATATATATATATATTATT